CACCTTTAAGTTTGGTTTTTACCAATGACACTGCTGTGGCGTCATGTTCACCTTTGATGGTGTTAACCAAAGATAAGGCATCCAGAAAACTTTGTAGGTTTTCTGCCTACCGTCAAACTCTGGGATGAGTTTGCTGGCTGTATTAAGAAATTCTATTATAGTTTGAGGCATATTTGAACCTGAAGGTTTTTCACCTTCTGAACTATCGTCGCTATCTGAACTATTTTGCAGCAGTTCTCGTGTGAAAACTGCTGGGTTATTTAGCGCGATTGGTATCACTAAATGCAAATGGTGTCTTTTGTTAATGTTCTCAAGGCACTCTGTTAGCCGTTTGAGAACATCTGTGACCTGGCCGTTATGGAGTTCAGAAAGGTTATGGTGGGCTGCTTTTATTAAGCATTTGATTTCGTTGTAATTGTGAACAACGATCTCAGTATGCTTAATTAGCGTTTGTCGCTTAATGCGCTTTGTCTTATTTAGACATTTATATGATTTATCAAATTCCACCCTGAAGTCTCTAATTTTTTGTCTTAATGTTTCCCATTCCATTCCGAGTGGTAGCTGGGTTGCAGAATTTTTATCAAGAGTTAAACTAGATTTTATCTAGTGCATCAGCGCGAGACATATACCTTTTTTTCAGGCTTCTATGATGCATGTTGTAAATTTTGATTATTAGATTTATTGCTGCCATGATTACTAATATTAACAGAAGAAACCACAATTCATTGATGCTATTTGTGTGATCGACAATTTGTATCTTGTTCACCACATTGACATTGGGGTTTTCTACTTTTGATTGCGTTTTCCCCATTGTAGTTATTAATATTTAGTATTTAAAAAAAAATAATTTTTTTCTTAATTAAAATTTTTTTTTTTTTTAGAAATATTTTTATTTTATCATTTTATTTAATACTTATACATATAAAAAGGAAAAATATTATATATATATATATAAATTTAAGAATTAATTTAGGGTGCTGGTTTGTTTGGCCAGCAGCCGTTTCTTCGCATCGCGAAGCGCCAGTTTGGTGGCGTCCAGCAGCTCTTTGTAGCGCCTCTGGTCATCCGGTGATCCTCGTGCGGCCTTTTCGCACTCGATTAGTAGGCGACGAGTGCGGATCAGGCGAGCCTGTTTTCCTCCTCTCCTTGCCTTCGGAACTGTTTTACTCGGGGTTGCTTCCTCGCTCCTTTGCTGCTTGGCTGTCTTCTGCCTTGCTTTGTATTCCTCGATGGTGAGTCTTTTTGGTCCTGACTCCGGGTACTGCTCCAGTACCTCCTCTATTCCTGGTGGGTCCTTCTGGATAGAAGGCTCCCCTGTCAAGAATTGTATCTCTCCTTCCGATGTCATGAATTTTTATTTATTGGTTAGACCTCGAGTCTTTTTAAGCAAAATGTAGAATGTAACCAAATTCCACCAAGGAGACTATGGACTCGTCTGTGAAGAGCTGCAGCTCCTTGAAGCGGCACAAAATATCCTTCAGGTAGAGGGTTTATGACTTCTTGTCGCCGTAGACGATGGTTCAGCACCTCATCGACACAGGACTCCACATTGATTTTTCTGCTGTTATCGACCTCCCCGGCAGATTCATTGGCACCCTTGAGATTGGTTTCTTCAAAATATTTGGTTTTTTTTTGTGATTTCTGAGCTGATTTTGCCTCATATACCTATATCTGTTATAAACGGTTTGGCTGATAAGCTTTCTTGTTTATTATATTATATTATATATCTGGCGCTATAACGCCGCTGATATATATATAATAATGGCAGGATCGCCATGTAGTACGCCTGGATGTTATAATTGTTATGATTGATTTTTATTTAAATGAAGCTTATATTTATACAAAATCGTTGGGGCGAGTTGCCTCCATGCAGGTGTTCTATCGTGGGAAACAAAGCCCTGTTGCGTAAGGTTCCCACAGTCAATATGCAATATGAGGCGTCAGCTTTCGGTCAGCGGTGGTACCTGCCCAATGCCCGTTACGTAAGGTTCTCACGGTTTAGATGCAGACGCATCACTTTTGGGCAGTGACAATGACCGCCGCCGAAACTGCATCATATTGCAACTTGGCCTTGGGGTGGTGCTTAAATTGGTTAGGCCAAGCACACTGCATGATGAGACTTCAGGCAGTTTGCAACGGGTCTCCGTCAACCATACAACTGGAAGGAACTGGCTTACTTTTCCCTGGACTCCGGGGGGACTGCTCGCAATACAGAAATAAGCATCAGTACCTTCAGCACAACAATCAGTGAAGTCAAATCAACCTACACTCGATTTGGGGACATACGCTTACCCCCTTCGCCAGCAACTGTACAATTGGAGAACCAGACATCAGACTATCTTCAAGAATTGAAAGATTTACGCCTGCAATTAGTGGCAATCAATCAACAAAGGCTGCCAAACCATCTCAACACAGTGCAGCATCATCAAATCGCTACTTATGCTGCCCTAGCAATATCAATGCTATTGATTATTGCGTTCATTCTCCGGAAGAAGTATCAATCATGGAACCCAACTGGTGTGCCACGTTTCCTACTATATCCAGCGGCGATCTGCGTTGTCGAGAGGCCTTTATTAGCATATTTCCTGTTTGTAGTTCTTTGTACAAATGTTGAAAGTGTTGAAATATGGAGTTGCACGCTTGAACATTTTTTAGCTGACATATCCTTCCAATATGGATCCAAGTCGTAGTATATAATCATGGTCCATTCGGAAGTGGTCTTTCTTGAGGTTCCAAGTTTCTCATAGAATATTCAAAGCTTGTTTGCAAATGGCGTCACATTTATTGATTGTGAAAATGCTAATGGCAGCATGAGAAGTAACACTAACAATGTGGATGTTAGTGTAGGTAATGATAATCTTTTTCGCTGTGTTAGTGGCTCCTCTATTTCCGCAATGTCTTGAATAGCATTTTTGGAGCGTTTTGTTGCTACCTCCTCTGAGAATAATGGGGCGAGACGACTGATGGGGCGTTTGTATACGCCGGACGATGTTTTGACATCAAGCACTCGTACATGGTTGTCTTGCCCAGGATAAGTTTTGATGATGCGACCCATTGGCCACTTCATTACTGGAAGGTTGTCTTCCTTCACCAAAACTAATAATCCTTCGGTCACCTTTGGAGCGGTGGTTTTCCATTTATGCCGAGTTTGTTGTTCGTGGATGTATTCCGTAGACCATTGATTCCAAAATGCATGTTTTAAGCGTGAAACCAATTCCCAGCGCTTAACCAGAGCTTTCTCTTGACGATCAGTGTTGAGGTCAGGTGCTGCGGTCAAAGGTTCACCCATCAGGAAATGCCCTGAAGTAAGCGCACTTGTATCCGTTGGATCATTTGACATTGGAGTTATGGGTCGGGAGTTGAGAATTGCTTCAATTTCGATTATGACTGTGTTCAGCTCCTCAAACGTCAAGGATGCTGTTTCTGTGGTTGTAATTAGCATCCTTTTCGCTGATTTTACCGCAGCTTCCCAGAGGCCGCCAAACGATGGAGCCCGAGGAGGAATGAATTTAAAATCCACTTGTTTTTTGTTGCAATGATTTGTGATCAGAGCATGTGCCTTTTAGCTAAATATTGATTCTTTTAATTCCTTTAGCTTGTTATTTGCGCCGACGAAATTTGTTACGTTGTCGCAATGAATAGTCTGACACTTCCCGCGTCTGCTAAGGAATCGCCGAAGTGCTGCCAAGAATGCATCTGTGTTTAAGTCACTTACTAACTCCAGTTGTACAGCCTTTGTGGAGAAGCAGCAGAATACGGCAATGTATGCCTTATCTGGCCGTTTTCCTCGGATTTTATGGTGGATCATAGTTGGTCCACAGTAGTCAACGCCTGCATTAAGGAATGGGCGTGCTTGCAAGACTCTTTGTGCTGAAAGATTGCCCATGATCTGGTGCATCAGCTTTGGTCTGGCTCTGGTGCATCTAATACAGCTATGTATGATGCTTCTAGCCATCGTCTTGTCGTTGATAATCCAATATTGTTGTCTTGCGATTGCCCTTAATGCTTGGGCACCGCAATGCAGATTTTCCTCATGAAGCTCTCGCGAAAAAAAAACAACGCGATATTTTCGAGTGCGGACGCGCCACAGAGCGGCTCTGCAGATTCAGCTCCAAATCACGGAATATACCTTCGAAAAAACACAAAAAATTAGCGCAGGCGTACCTAAACACTGCAATCTCACCCGGGATAGCAAAGCCACACACAGGGAACGGCTCCAGATCCAGACTGCTCCTCGGACATCCACAGGGCAAGGGGAGGCAGGGGACCACCCTGAGTGCGCTCAGGCATTTCCACTCAGCGCCTGACGGCTCCCGCCTTTTTCACTTTTCTCTATTTTCTTTTCGGCAAGTAAATTCTTGTTTCCACTCGAGGCAGCACAGCTGATCGACTGGTGTACCAGGGCTGGACAGTGCAGGCCACGAACCAGCTGATCGGCTGAAGGGTTGTAAAGGGTTTTCAGGTCCCAGATCAGCGAGCTTCTGACAGCGACCGATTACCGATCGCTCACTAACTCAAGTTAGTTAATTTCAAATAAATTCAATTCACAGTCCACAAGCACCTGCAAAGCAGAAAGACCGGCTATCTGGGAGGTAAAAAGGCAAAGGCCAAGGAACCGGCCGCCAGCCAACCCCTCCGCCCAGGCGGCGCCAATCAACGGGGCTCTGGTTACCGAACCGAAGCGGTATAACTTCCACCGAGGATCGCCGCAGGGAAACCTCTGGCCGCCGAGGGATCCCAGAAGCCGCTCCTCCTCATCTGAAGGTACAATGCTGGGAGGGTCGAACTTAGCCCAGCTGGCTGACTCGGACGACCTCCAGGCGTTCGCTCAAAGAGCCAAGATCGCGAGGTCTCCTACTGGAGCTGCGCTCCCGAGCGACCCGATGAGGGACGGCGATTAGCCCAAAAGAGGCAGAGATCTAGAGAGTAGCCCTGAAAGCATAGAAGCAAAGATCAAAAGAAAGAAGGTCACTAAAAGTCTCCAAGCGCTGTTGACCGAAATGGGCGAGATCATAGACGGATTAGTATCCGTAACGCTCGAGAAGAGGCCGGCAACGCGTCACGGGAACCAGATAAAAGACACCCTAACCAACCTGAAGGAGTTGCACTCGGACATCTGCGCGAGAATCCAGGAGCAGAAACTGGAGGACCACAAACCAGAGACGATGGACCAGCAGACATCCCCGATCCCATGCAAGCTGACGGTGTCATCGTCACTAATCTCAGAAGCCCCGCATGGAGATGCATGGTCCACCGCGACCCGTAGGCCCAGACGCCGACCATTCAACGCGTCTGAAGAGCCAGAACAGAGACCCAAAGCGACAACGACCCATCCACCCAGGCGACAAAGGCACGACGCAATCATAATTGCCACAAAAGGAGACCTTTCTTACTCCGACATCCTAAGGATGGTGACGAGGAGAGACGACGGGAAGCTGAAGGAAGTTGGAAAAAATGTTGACAGAGTCCGGCGCACAGCAAAGGGAGAGCTCCTGCTCGAGCTAAATGGCGCTCAGAAGGAAAATACTGCCCAGCTGAAGGAGGAGATAGGCCAAGTCCTTGGTACGCTGGCAGGCGTCAGGGCGCTGGTAAGCGAAACTTTCATCGAGATCCGCGACATCGATGACCTTGCCACCAAAGAGGAGGTCGCTATGGCACTGTCTCTTCAGGTGGACCACCAAGTGGAAGCAGAATGCATTAGGGCTCTACGACCGGGATATGGAGGTTCCCAGGTGGCTGTCGTCGGGCTTGCGGACCCGCTGGCAAAGCGGCTTTTAGAGGCTGGAAAACTCAAGATCGGGTGGACAAGATGCAGGATCGTAGAGCGATCAGGACAGAGGCGCTGCTACAAATGCCTAGAGTTTGGGCACATCGCAGCCAGGTGCAAGAGCGACGTCGACCGCAGCAACTGCTGCCTCAAGTGTGGCAAGCGTGGCCACAAAGTAGCGGAGTGCACAAATGATCCCAGATGCTTCCTCTGTACCGTAAAGGATCCGGCTGCGGCGAGCCACATAGCTGGCAGCAAGAGGTGCCCGAGAAGCAGACCAGAGCCTAATCACCGCATAGCGAAGTGAGGATCCTGCAGCTGAATTTAAACCTCTGCGAAACTGCCCAGAACCTACTCTGTCAGTTAGTCCGAGACGAATCAGCGGATGTTGCACTCCTCAGCGAGCCGTTCCGCAGAACCAGTGACAGCCACTTCACGCTAGACGCAACAAAAACAGCAGCGCTTTGGACATGCGGGCGTTCGGGTCATCAAGCAGAGTTGGTACGCAAGGGCTATACAGCTGCTACCTTGCACCACGACTGTCGCTCCAGGAATTCGGCGCCATACTCGACGAAGTAGCAGACGACGCAAGGGGACGGCCAAATGTCATCCTGGCAGGAGACTTCAACGCGTGGTCAGAGGATTGGTGGTCAAGGTTCACCAACGCTAGAGGTCACACCCTCCTAGAAGCCTTTGCCACATTGGAGATAACCCTTCTAAACACGGGATCAGAGGACACGTTCTCCCGAGCTGGGACAGGGTCAGTCATTGACCTGTCCTTCTGCAGCAGCACTCTCTTGGAGAGTACAACGTGGACCCTCAGACCGCATACACCGCTAGTGACCACAAAGCAATTTCTGCAGTATCGAGTCCCGCAGGCAAGGCTCAGCCCACCAGCCAATGACGACCTTCAACGCCAGATCTCTCAGGCCAGAGATTTTTCTAGAGGAGCTGATCATACCAGAGCCCCAGGGAGACGCAGAAGCCAGCGCTGCCGAACTCGTCCGCTCGATAGCATCGGCTTGCAGGGCAAGCACAAAACAGACAAGGAGCCACTCCCGACACCGCGAGCCGGTATTCTGGTGGACCACGGAGATCGCCGAAGCCCGCAGCGAATGCATCCGTGCTAGGAGGCGCCAAACACGCGCTAAGGGAACGCCGGCCTTCCATACGAGGTCCCAGGAATACGCCGCGAAACGCCGAGTCCTCAAAAGGTCCATCAGAGAAAGCAAGAGGAACTGCTTCCTTGAACTCTGTGACTCTGCGGAAAATGACCCTTGGGGTCTCGCATACAAAGTCATAGTAAAAAAGCTAAACGCGGCAAAGCCTTTCACCGCGGCCGACCCTGACAGGATGAAAGAAATCGTCGAATGTCTATTTCCCACTGTCGCCTCAGCTGTCAGCCCGGCACGAGCACCGTATCGCCACATCGGATGGACCGACATAACGGCAAGCCAGATTTTGGAAGTGGCAGCAGAAACCCCGACCGGCAAGGCGCCAGGCCCAGATGGTATCCCCGATACCGCAGTGAAGCTGGCTATGGCAGCGCATCCATCGGCTTTCGCGCATGTCTTCAACATGTGCCTACGCGAAGGAGTATTCCCAGAGCCATGGAAGCAGCAGAAGCTTGTCCTGTTGCCAAAACCCCACAAGCCTCCGGAAGAACCATCATCCTATAGGCCCATCTGCCTGATAGACACCGTGGGCAAAGCGCTGGAGCGATGCATTTGCAGGAAACTCCAGGAAGCTGTCGTAGAGGCAGGTGACCTGTCCCCGATGCAGTTTGGCTTTAGGAGGGCAAGATCGACGACGGACGCGATCCGCATAGTCAAGGACATAGCGGCAAAAGCTATTGAGGGAACAAGGTGGCTTGGAGGACGGAAGCAGTACTGTCTCGTGGTCACTCTCGACGTAAAGAACGCCTTCAACTCGGCGAGGTGGGACGTCATCCTTAGGGCTCTAACCACGTTAGGAATCCCAGACTACTTGGTAGCCATCATCGAGGACTACTTCAGAGGCCGGATGCTGCTATACAACACCGATAGCGGCACAGTGCAGTACCAGGTGACATGCGGCGTTCCTCAAGGCTCGGTCCTGGGACCAACTCTGTGGAACGTTATGTACGACGCCATCCTCAAGCTCCAACTAACAAGTGACGCCCAAACAGTAGGATTCGCAGATGACGTCGCGCTGGTGGTGGTAGCCAAGCATCTCGGCGACGTGGAGGCCCGTTGTAACCAAGCGGTGGCAGTAATCCAGGAGTCGTTGAACTCTGTGAGCCTCAATCTGGCTGAGCAAAAGACGGAGGCGGTTCTGATATCCAGTCGCAAAAAAGTCGAGGTAGCGACCGTCCGTGTCGGCTCAGTTGACATAACATCATCAAGAGCAATCCGATACCTCGGAGTAATGCTGGACACTCGTCTCTCATTCCGCGAGCACCTCCAGGCAGTCTGCAAAAAGGCAGCCGACCTAGGAAGAGCACTTTCTCGCATGATGCTGAACGTGAGGGGACCCAAGCAAGGCCGCCGACTTCTTCTGCAGTCTGTCCTTAAATCGGTAATGCTGTATGCAGCACCAATCTGGCCAGAGGCGGCGAGGACGAAGTCCTACAGGAGAGGGTTAGACGCAACTCACCGACTGGGAGCTCTGCGGGTCTGCTGCGGCTTCCGAACAATCTCGGATGACGCGGCCTTGGTCATAGCAGGAATGCTCCCAGTGGCGGACCTCGCAGAGGAAGCAAAGGAAATCTCCTCAGAGCTCGACGCAGCACCACAAAATCGATCACCGGCACTGAGGAGACAAATATAGTCGGCAGCGAGGGAAAGGAGCTTAAACAGATGGCAGGAACGATGGGCCATCTCAACGAAGGGCAGATGGACATTCCGTCTTATACCGGACATTGCTACGTGGGTAAACCGAAAGCATGGAGAGGTGAATTTTTGGCTAACCCAGCTACTAAGTGGACACGGCTGTTTTAGGAGCTATCTCCATCGTTTCGGGCACGATAGCGACGATAAATGCCCGACGTGTGGCGTCGAAGAAACCGCTGAGCACATCCTTTTCAGCTGCTCAAGGTTTGCAGAACAGCGTAGCGGCATTGGCGGTGACACGCTGAACGCCGAAAACCTGATCAACAGGATGGTTGCGAGCGAACAGTACTGGTCAATGGTATGCGGGTTTGCGTCAGATGTTATGCGGAAGCTGAGAGAGCTGGAGCGGAGTCGAAACGGCATAGAAGGAGGGGTCTAAGGTGACCCGCCCGTTCTTGCGAAGCAAAGCTTCGCGGCATTCCCGCAGGAACTCGGGCTTTATTTATTTTCTATTATATTTCTTTACTTAATAAACTGATAAAAAAAAAAAATGAAGCTCTCGCATAATCATTTTGACTATTGGGTCGTTGTACGGTAGCAGGATTGGATGTTTTGCGTTAAACGGAATTTGAGCTTCTTCGAGTCTTCCGCCAACCTTGATGAGCTCATCATCTCCTATTACGGGAGATAACGAAATGATCGAACTCTTTTTATCCACTGTTTTATAGCGTTTTAACTGTTTTAAATCCGCTGTGAACTCAACTTGTTGAATCGTTCGTAGGATCATAGTGCGAGCACGCCTTAGCTCTCCTGCGCAAAGTGTCGTTGTAGGTGCTCTGTTAGTTTTGTAGCAGAAGCGAAACATGTACGCTACAATACGTTGTAGTTTGTTGAACGAGTTGCTAAGTCTGCATGTGTATAACTCTTCTCCGAGAGAGCTAGATGCGATTGGCAAGCTGACTTGCTTAGCCTTTCTCTCGAGATTGCTGGGCTCAATGATGGGTGGTTTCGTCCATTTATCTTCTGATCCGTGCAAGAATAATGGTCCGTATAGCCATAGACTATGATCCCTTAGCTTGCTTGCTAGGATTCCTCTTGAAAGGACATCTGCTGCGTTGTTGGCTGTTGAAACATGACGCCATTGTAATTGGTTAGTCAATGCCTGGATTTTGGCGATTCGATTTGCCACGAAGGTGTACTATGTGGACGCCGATGCGTTAATCCAGTACAGTATAACGGTGGAATCAGTCCAGAAGCTTCCTGATACTGTGTCAAGGTTCATATGGAGATCCCTTCTAACTCGATTGGTGACTTCGGCACCTAAAATTGCAGCGCACAGTTCTGGACGTGGTAGGGATTGTTAGGCGGTGGGTGCTACTCGAGACTTTGAGCATTATAGTCGTACAGAGACCTGATTGTTTTTGTAGGTGGCTCGTACGTACACTGCCGCGCCATAGGCTCGTTCCGATGCGTCTACAAAGGTAGATCCTGGGTGACTGGCACTTTTCCATCATATACGTGCCGGGGAATCTCCATTGAGTTTAATGATTGTAGTTCCTCCAGGTACTCCTTCCATTCGTTTTGGAGTTGCAATGGCAGTTCATCGTCCCAATTGAGTTTAATCTCCCACAGCTGTTGCATAAATATTTTTGCCTTGACTATCACTGGGACTAAGAGACCAAGTGGGTCAAAGATTTGGTACAATTCTGAGAACTGTTGCTTGGCTTTTTGTGGTTCGTCCTCGCAGTTGGTCTTGTTTTGGCATCCAAATGAGACACAGCGTTTTCACGCTGTATTGCTCTAATGTTTCACCTAGTTTGACGTCGTTGACAACGTCCTCTTTAGGGATTCCTTGCAAGAGCTGGTCGTTGTTGGAGCACCATTTGCGAAGTTTAAGGCCGAAAGGTAGCAATATTTTATTAAGTTCTTGTTGAACTTGTATCGCTTCCTGAATGGTATCCGCGCCAGTGAGACAGTCGTCCAGAATGCAGCAGATCCAATAGGTAATCTGTTTTGGCTCCGAGTTGCCAAATGATCCAGACAATTCGTTGCCAGGAATGTAGCAGATGTGGTCCCATATGTGACTGTTTTTAAGCGAAAGTACCTGATATCTTAAGATGTCCAGACTATCATCTGATGAAATTGATCATCGGGATTCATCCACACTTGTCGGTACATTTTCTCGATGTCCGCTGTGAATACGTACTTATGTATACGAAAACGTAGTAGAATGGACATAAGTTCACTCTGAACTGTGGGTCACGCACGCAGAATGTCGTTTAGAGACTTTCTGCTTGTTGATTTGCATGATGCATCAAAAACGACCCGTAACTTTGTGCTGGTGCTCTCAGGTTTCAGTACACAGTGGTATGGTATGAAGTAGTGTCTCTCCGGCACTTGTGTTGCTGGGACCATCTTCATGTGTCCAAATTCGTTCATATTCATTCATGAATTCCACATAGCCTTTCCAGGTGTCTGGTGAAATCCGTCGCTCTAA